GTGCAAGGTGGAGCAGGGTGCCACCCAGCCCCGGCTCCTGGCAGAGACAACCTGCTCGGTTCCAGGTGTCTGCTGGCCATGGCCTTAAGACTATGGCTGGGCCAGAAGCCTGGTTGAGGGGCGAGAGATTGGGCTGGGAGCCAGGAGCCATGATGTCAAAGACCCTTTTTCTGCCAGAGCTTCACTCCAAAGCCTCTGCCTGTCCCTCCTTCCTTCCCTCCCTCCCTAGTCACTTCCCTCTTGGGAATGTCAAAGTGCAAGATGCAGAAACATGGGCGAACAACGCAGCCTAAAGACCAGCTCTGGCCGGCAGTCCGGGAAGTTCTCCCACCCGCTCCTCCCTGGTGTTTAAAGCTGGGTCAGGAGAAGGTTAGGGCTTAGGGGCTCCCTCCGTTGAGAGGCGAGGCCAGCTCGGGCACTCACTTGTGCGGGAGGCTGGGGAAGCCTAGGAGGGTGGGTGGGACGACGGACGGTGCTCGCCCGAGGACAGCGAGGGCAGGCTGTACAGCAGGCAAGTTCAGTGTTCACAGTGCAATGGCTTCCTTCATGAGGGGCAGCCTGTGTGCCCAGCCTCCTGGATGCTCTGACAGGGACTGGAGGGAGGGGGCACAGAGGCCAGAGCCTGTCCACCCCATGGCATCAGGAGCATGCCAGGTGGGTCCTGAGGGCAGGGCTGGCCTCCTTTCTCCACTCAGCAACCAGAGCGGACACTCAGGTAAGCGGAGGGTGCAGACCAGCAGGTCCGGGGGCCTCCTCTTCTGGTAATTTGGGCTGCACACATTTTCAGGAAATCCAGCCCACACTGTCCCTCCCTTGCCAATCTCATGATCCTTTCATCGGAGACAAGTCCTTGCTTGCTGATGTTGGGATCTCCTGTCGCCAGGCAGGTCTTCTGGGCACAAGGGCTCTTCAATTCCTCAGCTCCTGCCCTGTCTCCCAAGTCCTGAAGACCTCAGAGTCCCTGGCCCAGGTGTTGGCTTGAAGGGGCGTGTGGGGAGAGGGTGGGCCCTGGGGGCTGAGGGTCCTGAGCCAGGCTTGCCAGTCTTCTTCAAGCAGATGGGAGCCTCCAGGGCCCACAATAAATATCCGTAGGTGGGAAGGGCACGTCCCTAGCCCTCTCTCAGTCAGTTGAGGGGCAGAGGGTTAAGGGCAAAGGGCCCCCCGCCTGGTTGCCCTGGTCCAGTCCTGGCAGGCAGGGGTGCTTGTAGTGGGCAGGCCACCATCCCAGGAGAATGACCGGGGAGGGGTGGTGGTGGACACCCTCATAACTTCTCCTCCCATGGAGAGGACTGTCCTGTGCGCCCAGCTGCAGGGAGAAAAAGAAAGGCTGGTCAGCCGAGTGGGAGTGGAGGAGGGTCGTTGAGGACATGGGTGGGTGGGGGAGGCGCAGCGTTCCTGTGGCTGTCGGTGGTGCTGCAAGCAGAGCTTCTTCTCGTTCTTTCCCTCGCCTTCCCAGCCACCTCAGACACCGCAGTGGGGCCAGGCGGCCTTTGCTGGCAACACTCCAAGCCTCTGGTCAGAATGGCCTCACCTCCTACCTCCTCCTGGGGAACCAGGGACCACAGAGGGAGACAATGGGGTCTGCTAGAGGTCTGAGCCATAAGCAGATGAGGGGCCCAGGCAGAGGGGCCTCACAGGGAGAGAAGGGGACACTTGAGTGTCCTTAGATCCCTCTTCAGGCAAGGCTATCCCACTGGTCTGTGGTGTGGTGCATCTAAGTGTGATGCAAATGAGAGGACTTTTGCATTGCCACCTCCATATCACTCATCAGGGTGCTATCACAGATGGTGCTGGGGACAGCAGGGCAGAGGTAATCTAAGAGGAAGAACTTGGATGAGAGTGGAAAAGTCTAGAGGTAGTGCTGGGGCAAGGAAACTCCCACCATCCATTAAGTACGTTAACCCCTGAACAACCCAGCCTCCTCCTGCACGGGCCATGGGATTTGCCTCCTCCATCGTCCATGGGAGTCAGGGCCCTGTTCTCTTCCTCCCCCGCCCCCATCTTGTCCCCTTGCCCAGCATCCTCAGAATGCTTTGTTCCCAGAGCAGAAATCCCCTGGCCTCCATCCAATGCAGTTTGACTCTGACCCCGTGGGGAGCCTCCTACTTTGACTGCCCCTAGGCCCTACTGGCAAAGCCAGGATGGGTACGGAGGGAAGATGGGACCACAGCCTCTGGCTCCCAGCCTGTTCCCATGCTCTGGAGGGGAACCATAAACTGGACATGAGCCATGCTGGGTACAGCCAGGCCACAGGCCCTACTGGGGCCCAGGATGGAAGAAGGACCAACTGGGCAAACTTCAGGCTGCTGCCTATCTCCCAGTTCCCTGGGGTTGGCTGCTGGTGCCTGAGCCTTCTGTCTGTGGCTCTGGGTTTCCCTCTCTCTCCCCTCTTCCGTGAGAGTAGCAGTCATTCTAAGGGTGTGTACTAAATCTACCCGAGGGTTCTGGTGTCTGGCTTGAGGAAGCCTATCTGTCTAGGAGGTCTGGATAAGGTCTTTGTCCAGGATCCCTCTCTAAATCTCAGGAGGAAGAGGAAAGCATGTGATAGATCTGAGAGTAGGCAGGCAGAGGAAGGTGAGTGAGAGTGTACAAGAATGGGCAGAAGGTCAAGACCAAGGAGGTGGAGGCTCGCAACCAATCAGGAGCCACTATCCATTCTGCATGCCTATCCCGAGGTACCTGAGCCATCTTCACAGCCATGCTAGGAGCCCAGCCGACCCATCTGCACACCTGTGCCCACCTTTCTGATAAGGTAGTCCCCGTGATTCCACATATTGTGACCCCTTGGTTTTTTCTAAACAGGTTCTCCTACTTTGAAGCACTTTCCAGATCCCTGGACTTATCCAGCAATAACCCAGCTGGCTGCCCACATGGGAAGACCTAGGACACATGCTTACATTTGACATGGGGTGTGATGGGCAACTTGATGTGCCACTCAGAGACCCCGCCAGTGATCCAGCCATGACCCTGCCAGCCAGTGGGCAAATCGGTCAGCCAGCCAGCCAGTCAGCTAGCCAAACCAACCACTTAATCAATTAGCTCATTAATTTAGGAAAGGACGAATACTGTCCAGATCAAGGAAGGTCTCATTGAACTGAGCCAGTCTGACAACACTCAATAAGCTAATCAGGCAGTCACTGGTGGGTCAGTTGGTTAGTTAGTCACTCAGCCAGCTGGTCAGTCACTCAGACTAGTCAGCTGGTCAGAATGTTGCTCAGCTAGAGACAGCTGGCCACATACAGCCCAGTCAATGTTTATTGAGCTGATGATAAGTGTAGAGAAGCCCTCTCTGTACTTGAATTTGGAAAAGAAGAAATAAAAAAAAAACAAAAAAAACAACAACCCACCAAAACAATAACCAGCAAAGGTGTGGAAGACGCATTCCCTGCCCTCAGGGGGCTTACAGGCTTCTTAAGGATGGTGAACATGCATTGACACATAAAATAAGATTTAAAAACTTACAACAACCAACATCCAAACAAGTGCAAATCAATATAGTATTAACCAAATACAAAAGAGCAGGAGGGGGAGAAATTAAAGGACAACCAGAGGCAGAGGGGTACTCGAGGAGACTTCTGATGGGTTCACTGTGGGTCTAGGGAAGGGAAAGGGCTGTGGATGGGTGAGGCCCGGGGTTGGGAGGAGGAAGGACAAGGACCACATCTTCATCAACAACATGGGCAAGGACAACAGAAGGCACCTCCCCATGTGGGAGACACAACCAGGATTAGGATTTAAAACAATTCAGTAGGCCTGGGGGATGGGCAGAAACCCACAGAGTGGTTTTAACAAAGACGGATATAAATTCCTGCACTTTGGTACTTTGGTTGTTTTGTTTGTTGTTGACTTTTTTTTTTTTTTTAAATTGTCCAAGTGGAGGATAAAGAAAGTCTAGCTTGACAGAGGATTCTGGGGAAATGGGACCAAGGGTTTTAATAGACTACAAATTCTATAAACGGTAACAGTATGATGCAGTTGTGAAAGAACTAATGCAATCTTAATCTGCACGAATAGAAGAACATTATCCAGGCCAAGGAAGGTTACAGTCCCACTGTACTCTGAGCTGGTCAGACAACATCTGGAGTACTGTGTCCAGGGCAGGGCGCCACATTTTCAGAGGGACATTGACAAACGAGTGTGTCCAAAGGAGGGCGACCAGGATGGTGAGGGGGTCTGAAAACCATATCATATAAGGGACGTTTGAGGGACTTGGCCACACTGAGCTTAGAGAATTCTTAAAGGGGACATAACTAATTGAAGTTAAATATTTGAGGACTCTCAGGAGGGCGGGCGGCCGGGAGGGTCTGCATGTAGGGACAGGGATGCCAGCTCTGCTCACATAAGGAGGGATCTCTGGCGATGACGTGGGTTGGGGCTTGATAGGGAGGGGCTGGAACTGAGAGTGTGTGAACTGAGGAAGTTGGCTGAGAGGGGTGGGATGCTAGGCCAGATGTCCCCTAAAAGTAAGTGACTTTAAAGGCAGGGAGGTAGAAATGACCTTGGCTGAGGAGAAGAGCCAGAAAAGGAGCAAACAGAGTAGAAGCTGGTGCGAAGAGCACGGCAAGGACGGTTGCTGGAGGAGCTTGGAAATGAAGCTAAGAATGTTGAATTTGAAGTGACTGACAATGTGGAACTACTGAAAATTTCCCAGCAGGGTAAAAAGCCTCATAAAAACCACATTCAAGGAAGAGCATTTGAGTTGCCCAGGGACAGACGGTGGTAAATGAGGAGATTGATGCAAGAATGCAGGCAGGAGGTCAGTGACTGGCCTCAGACACGGTAGAGACTGGAGGAGCAGGAAAGTGTCTGACAGGGGAGAGTGGGCCAGACCTGGTAATGGAGGGAAAGAGAGCAAGAGAGGGAGGGGCAGGGTTAGGTGAGCGGGCCTAGGGAGGGGAGAACTGACAGTGTTACCAGTGGGATTGGGCGCCTGGAAAGGGTATAGCTCATTTTAAGGGGTGGAAGGAGAACAAAACCAGACTCTTACCTTAGAATTCCCTCTACACGGGCAGTTCCATCTGTCTGTCTTCATCCTGGGTCAGGGGGCTGCAGGCAGAGCACAAGGTTGGAGTAAGAACAGGGTTCAGCAAAGGTGAGGAGAAAGGGCACCCTAACCTTAGCCTCCAAGTCTCCTGCATATGCGTTCCAGCTCCCTCAGATTGGGGGGACCCAGGATTGTCTAACCCTGGGAAGAAGCCAGGATAACAGACACCCAGGAAAGACGGGAGGCCCTCCTCTCCATTCTCTTTTGCACTTCCAGTTCCTCAGTGCAAGTGGAAGAAGGTCCTCCCTCCTCAGATCTAGGAGGGAAGCCAGTCCCTAGCCATGTCTGACCCCAAGTCAGGTTTCCAGGACCTCCCAAGACCCCACCCCAAGGTCACCTCACCTGCCCTCTGGCTGCTCCATGGGGGAATCCGTTGTCTTGGGTTCTAGATGGTTCTAGGGACAGAAAAAGAGGCTTACTGAAGAACTGGAGGTGGGGTTGGGGAAATTTTGGGGAACAGTGGTCACTTCTCAAGGTAGGAAAGCCCCAGGAGTTCAAGATTTCAAGAGTCTCCCCTATTATCCTCAGCCACTCAGAAGTGGGGATCAGGTGGGAGTCAGGAGAGAGCTGTGAGACCTCCCTGCTAACACACTCCCCTGTCCTCATGCAGGCTGTCTCCCATGGATCCTCGTGCCTTGAGATGCAGAGACCCGAGGAAACATACACCTCTCTCTCTCTCACATACACACACAAACACACACACACACACACACACACACACACACACACACACACACCCATCCACCCCCAACTAGCCCCATATCCATCACACTCCTTCTCTGTCTCCCCCTCATCTGGGTTCTCATCCTTCTGTTGTCTTATTCTCTCCCAACTTTCTTCTGCTCCAGTCTCTGCCTTTCCTGTTATAACCAGCCGAGTCCCCCCACTGCCTTCACTCTTGAAGCCTTCTTCCCAACTGGCCCGTGCTCTGTGCTCAGTTAACCATCTCTCTCCAAGTATCTGAGGAACCCAGGCTGCACCTCCACCCTGCCCTCAAGAACTGCTGTGCTGTCCACCATCTCCTTACCCGCCGCTTCCGCCTGTAGAACAGGAGGCCGCCGACGGCCAGCAAGACCAAGATGATGCTGGGCACCAGCAGGTGGAAGACAAACCCCGGGAGCTGGGGATCGGAGAGTCCCACATGTTGCCTCTCATGGCCTGTGTCAGTCAAAGGAACTGGGTTAAAATGGGCCTGGGGCTTGGCCAACCCCTCACTTGCTGGTCCTCCTTCCAGCTCTGCTGTGCTCCTTCGGTCCCTGGTGCTCCTTTTGCCCTCCAGCTCCCCAAGGGGCAGCACATTGCCCCCTGAGGGGCTTCTGGGAGGCCGTGGTTGAGCAGAGAGGGTGGAGAGGCTGCTGAGGGCTTGTGGGCGCAGTGACGGAGTCCGTGGAGAGCCTGGCTCCTGATGGTCTCGGGGCAGGGCCAATGAACTGTCCAGCTTCTCAGGTGAAGGATCTGAGGCCTGGTCCAGGGGTTCAGCAGGATCCGTAATGGGCAAGGGGGTGCTGGTTTCATCTGCTGGCTCCTGGCCCTCTGGTGATCTGGCAAATGTTGAAGATGCTGAAGGGAGGTCGCTGGGCCTGGTGGTCTCTGCCTGGATACTCCCCACTCCTGGCCTGGATGGTGAAAGCTCAGCTTCTTGAAGAATAGAACCCACACCAGCCTCTCCAGAGGCCTCTTCTAGGGTCCAGTTAGGATCCAACAGAGAGTCAAGAACATCCTCCATGCCAGCAATGGAGGCCTCCACAGAGGGATGGGGCTGAGGTGAACCGGTGGCAGGGCTGCCCTCGACGCCAGGGGTCTCCGGGGACTCAAAACTCTGGCAGGTGCTCCGGGGTGGTCGCTCCTTGGCACTGCCTGGGTCCACTGCAGGGAGGGGCTGCTCACCGGGCAAGAGGGAGCTACCTTCTGCCCCCTTAGAGTCCGCCCAGCTCAAGGCAGCCATAGGGGCCACGGAGGGGGCGGGGGGCTGGTGAGGGGAGACAGAGGCCAGTTCACTGCTAGGAGGGGCTTTGGGGTATAGGCAGTTGCAATCAGGCTTGTTCACCACATCTGAAAGAACCACAGAGAGAGGGGGAGAGAAAGACGGGGAGGAGATAGAGTCACCAGCCTCCAGCACAGCTTTCCCAGGAGGGGATAAGAAGGGGACAGGGGCCTGGGGTCCTCCACATCCCCTAACTCAGCCCTGGGGCTGAGGAGAGGACAAGATGGAGTGGATGCTCTTGACACAGGCTTCAGGAAGCAGAGGTGAAGTCTCATGGGTCAAGAGTAAAGAGGAGGATTCGAATACACAGGCTGGGGGTTGGGGTTAGGGAAGACAACAAAGAACAGCCGTATGAGAATTCCAGTCAGCCAGATGCCAAGCTGGGGCGAAAAGCAGCCGAGCCTCAAGGTGGAGATATGGACAAGGACTTACATGAGACACCCTCAAGCCCAAAGACACCAAGACTTAACACGAGACACCCTCAAACCCAAAGGCACCAAGACTTACACGAGACATCCTCAAGCCCAAAGACACCACGTTGACTGAAAAGCAGAGAGATGGTTTCATGCACAGCCAGGGACCACACAGTCACAACCACAGGCAAGAACCGACGGGAGCTGGAATCCAGCCATGGCTTGAGGCCGTGGCATGGAAGCCATGAGAGTGGACTTGGCCACGAGCAGGTGGCAGGGCCTCAGGGAGCCATGGGAGGACACATGTGGCACAGGACGCAGAGACGAGGACACGCAGGGCACACATCTATGCAGCTGGACCAGCACTAGGAGAATCTGAACGACGCTCAGACTTCAAATCCAGCCTTGTCCCTTGAGGGGACACTCAAGGCATCCTGGGACTTCCGGAGCCAGAGGATGGTGATGCTTCATAGCAGGGCTCCTGGGGTGAGGGCCCTGACTCCCAGCCTCTGCTCTTGCCACTGAACCCTCCATGCGCTCAGCCAGCCGGCAGCACCCGTGGGGAGAACCTCCATGCCTACAGGCTCTCAGACAGGGGGCCCTTTCCACTTTCTGATCTCACAGCCACCAGTGTGATCCTTCTCGATGCTCTGGCATGCAGACATATGTGGAAGTGCATGCACACACATGCCAGAAGGGACATGTGCTCAGGAACACCAAGAGGTGAAGCCACATATGTACACGAAACAAGCACATCTATACACACAGGAACACAAGTAGCAGCCTCCCCGGGGGTCCCATCAGCCCCATGTCTCACCTCCTGACCCCTCCTCTGTCCCTTATGTTCTCCTTCTACCACCCACTGGCCGACCCCTTGGGACTTACCTTGACTGGAGCATTTAGCAAAGCTTTCATTGCAATTCCTGCTGAAAACTTTCCAGTCTTTCTTAAGGAGATTCTTTGTTTCATTAAAGACATTCTTGATCTTCTCCAGCAATTGGAGAGGCGTCTCATAGAAAGTTCGGACACAGGCCTGGAAGCAGAGCAGGGGAACGGGGTGTCATTTGGTGAGCAGGACCATTGATCCTAAGAGCCTATCCCATCTGTCAAACTCTCTTACACTTTCAAACATCTGTCTTCTTTGTCCCTTTGACTCTCAAGAATCAAACTTGAGGTTGTGAGATTTGTCATTTCTCCATATAACCATTAAACACAATTTATGCACCAGGCACAGAGTGATTACCTGGGGCCCAAGCAATAAACGAGATTTGGGTGACCACCGGTGGAGCTGGAGATTGAGTCCGGCAGGGTCATGTGAATTCAACGTCTTGCTGCATGTGTGGTGAGTTCTAGGAAGAGTTCTTCATGGAGCATCTCTTAATGACCGACTCAAAGATGAGCAGGAGTTAAGGAAGGGAGTATGAGGTGGAGTCTAGGCAGAGGACAACACGTGCAAAGGATTGGGCCTGAGATATCAAGGGACTAGAAGGCTGGGCTGGCTGTAGAAGTTAGGGTTCAGGAAGAAATTAGTGGGAAAAAACTGGAGAGAAGTCAGCAGGGGCCAGGTCCCACTGTGCCCTGCTGGTGATTTCAGGAACTTCTAACCTTCTCCATAAAGGGAGCCTCCAGTATCCAAAAGGCTGCTAGGAGGGGGCAGTGGCACGATAAGACTTGAGTTTTAGAATAGTCCTTTGGAGGTGTGGGGAGTGAGATGGAGTAGGACATGGACATGTGGGCCCTTCTCTGGCTTCAGTATCAGTGTGTCTTGGAGGATGTCTGAGGTATCTGGTCCTTTGTGGTCTCTCTCACTGTCTACTGAGGATCCAGTCCGCCATATCCACTAACGTTCTGAGAAACCTCACACATGCTGGGTTTTATTCTCGTCTCTTGGGCTGCACCATCTCGTTCCCCTCATCAGACTCTCCTTTCTCAACCTGACTTCTGGAAGCTGCCATTGCTCAGGGCTCAATCCTGGGTCTGTCTCACCTATTATATTAGGCAGAGTCCGATATGCCCACTACTTCTTATGACCTCTTTTCCCAGGACTTCCAATACCAGTTTTTCTGTAAACTGAGACAGACAGGTAAGACCTATGCATTTTACTAAGCTATAAAGTGGAGACTAAGGTGCGCCTGGTACAGGCCATGGTTTTTGCAATCACTTGTTATGCATCAGAGAGTTGGACAATGACTAGGGAGGATAGAAGGAGAATTGACGCCTTTGAGCTGTGGTGCTGGAGAAGAGTATTGAATGTACCATGGACTGCCAAGAAAACAGATTCATCCTGGAGAGGGTTAAACCAGGCTGCTCCTTGGAGGCAAGGATTCTGGGGCTTCGCCTGACATACTTTGGACATGTTGTAAGGAGAGACAGGTCTTTAGAGAGGGACATCATGCTGGGCAGAGTGGAGGGACAGCACAGGAGGGGAAGACCCTCTATGAGGTGGATTGATTCAGTGACTGGGGTAATCGGGATGGGTGTGTCAGAGGCAATGAGATTGGCACAAGATAGAGCAGGGTTTAGGGCTGTTGTACATAGGGTCGCTATGAGTCACAAACGACTCGATGGCACATAACAACAACAACAACATAAAGTCTTCAAGTACATATTGTATCCTCCCTGGTCTGTATACAAAATTGGAAAAAGCCAGCACAATGATTAATTCTAACCCATGATTGCCCTAATGTGCCGGAGCAGAACTGTGCCCCAGAGGGTTTCTAATGGCGGATTCTTCAGAAGCAGATTGCCAAGTCTTTGTTCTGAGCATGGCAGACTCTTAATAAATATTTGCTTAGTTGAGCGCATGAATGAATGAATGAGAAGTCATGGACTCAGGCCCAGCCTTCACCAGATATGTGATGTGGGCCAAATGACTTATCCACTTTGGGCTCATTTCCTCCTCTGTTAAGTCAAAACTAACAGCCTCTCCCCCAGCTTTGTAAGAAAGAAGTAATTTGGCTTTTCTCTCTTTTGTTCTCTCTCTCTTTTTTTATAAACCTGTTTCCCCCACGTCTCCCTTCATACTTCATGGAGAAAGCAGGAACCACTAGACGGAAGCCCCCTTTGTTGTCTCTTGCAGTCAGGATGTGTCTTCTCTCCTCAGGAGCTCTGTTCTCAACTCCAAAGGCTCCCTCCCTCTTGGAGTGTGCACCAACCAATTCATACCCACGTAAGGCCCAAGGACCTTATCACATCCTAGGTGAGGGATACCTGCTAAAAGCATATTCCTGGGTCCCCATCTCAGACTCTTTTTGGAGAGTAGTATGGGCATCAGTATTCCAAGCTTTCTAAGTGACTCTTATGAGCCATAAATGTGGAAAACCACAAATTTAATATATTGCAATTAAAAACCTTCCTATTTCAAAGAAAGATGATGGAAAATTGTAAGAGTAGAAGCAAGAAGAGGAAGAGGGCTCTCACATTGTAGGGACTGTAATTAACGTCACAACACAGAACGTGCATGAAATGTTGAATTGAAAATCAATCACTTCTGTAAACTTTCACCCAGATCACAATAATAATAAAAAAATACAAACTATCTTTCTACAAAGATGGCACTGAAAGTGAAGAAGGCAGCCTCTGTCCCTCTAAAAACTGAAGTCAAAGCAAAGGCCTTGAAGGACAAGAAGGCAGTCTTGAACAGCATCCATGTCAAGCACCTTCCGGCGGCCTAAGATGCAGAGACTCTGAAGGCAGCCCAGATACCCCTGGAAGAGTGCCCCCAGGAGAAACAGGCTTGACCACAACGCCATCATCAGGTTTACCCTGAAAACTGAGTCAGCCATGAAGAAGATAGACGATAGCAGATAGCAACACACTTGTGTTCATTGTGGATATCAAGGCCAACAAGCATCAAATCAAACAAGCTGTAAAGATGCTCAATGACATTGATGTGGCCAACGTCTACACCTTGATTAAGACTGATGGAGACAAGAAGGCCTATGTTGAACTTGCTCCTGACTATGAAGCCTTTGATGTAGCCAACAAAACTGGGGTAATCTAAACTGAGCCAACAAAATTGGGGTAATCTAAACTGAGTTCAGCTGGCTAATTCTAAACACAAATTTCTCAATCTCTCTCTCTCTCTCTCTCTCTCTCTCACACACACACACACAAACAACCTCCTCCCCCCAAAAAACCAAAACCCAAACCAAAAACCAAACCAAAATACCAAACTAAACTAAAACAAAGAACAATAAAAATAAGCCCATTAAAGTACTAAAGCAGCCATTAAAACACACACCAACAGCAACAAAACCCAAAACTTTGCCCAGCTCTTTCCAGCTACATCTTTCTGTCTCTTCTCTCTTTAGGAACCAAGTTCTTCCACTTTAGTTTCTACTCAGTCTAGTCTGAACCCAGCCACCAACAGTCACTTCCATTGGACATGTTCCAATGGACACTTTTCAACCTTTATCTTCTGTGACTTCTCAGTACCATTTGATGATATTATCCTTAAACATTTGACAAAGTTCTTCCATCTTGAAACACTCTGGTCTAGTGATACATACTCTCTTAGTTTTCCTTCCATTTCTCAGGCTTCTTCTTCTCTCCTGACCTGTACAATACTTGAGTACCTGTGAGTTCAGCTTGGCCCTGCTCCCTTCTTCTAGTGGACAATGTTATACAGTCCCAAACCTTCAAGAAGGGGTACATTTCCTGATAAATTTTCTTTCTATCACTACAGACAGCTTAAGACACTTATATCCTGCTGCATGCTCAGAATCTGCATTTGGTCATTTCACAGATAGTAAGTTCAATGGACCCAAATGGAACTTCTCCTCTTCTTCCAAAACATGTTCCACCCCTGGCATCATCCCAACATCAGCACTACTGACACACCCAGGTGCTCAAACTCTCCCTTCCCTACCTACTCACATGTGTTTTATTTACCAAGTCATGTTGCCTCTGCCTCCAAAATCTGTTAGAACAAATCCACTTGTTTCCACCTTCACTGAACTATTTAGTCCAAGCCATTGCTGTCACTGGCCTGGACTCCCTACTCTATCTGGACTCACTACATCCATCTCCTACACGGCAACCAGAAGGTCTCACAATGTCTGAGTCAGGATAGGTCCCTTAGCTTTTCATGATGACTTACTTCACAATTGAAGAGAAAATTCTACAACTTGAAGGGCCCAAATGAGATAACTCCTGACTCCTCTGCCCTCTCCCTTTCATAAGCCAGTCTGGCCATGCTCACCACCCTGGGGGCTTCCTCCTGTGAATATTCTTGCCTCTCTGGGGGCCTTTTACCTCTGCTGAAACACTCATAATAGGCTATTGATTTCTAACTCTTACTAATCCTTAGATCTCAAATGAACATTCTCTTCCTCAGAAGTCTGTCTCTTCTTCCCCCTTCCAATCTCCATTCAAAACAGAGACCATTCAAATTTCTCTCTCTCAGGACGCTGGGTAACTTTAGTTCATGGTTCATTATCTCACCTACGTCAGGTCTTCCCTTCACTGGCTTTCTCTTTTCCAGATGCAATTATCAGTATCCTGCTTGCCACTTATTTTACTCACATATTTTGGTAACTATCTCACCACCATCTCTGCTACTATCAAATGTAAGTTTCATGAATGTGAAGGTTTTGGGTTTTGTTTTTTTTTTTACCATATCTGTTTCCCATTGCCTACATCAGTGTCTGGTACATCGTAGGCACTCTGCAGCTGTTTGTTACATACATAGTCCTTTTGCTTGTAATGATATCTATTCGTATAATCATTTAATGGCTGCTAACTTCACTGGACTATAAGCCGCATAAGGGCGAGAACCATGTATTTCTTAATCATGACGACATTATCAACAGATTCCTGAATAGTAAGTTCTTAGCGGAAGTTTATAGAATTAAACAAATGAATGATAAAGTGAGTGATGAATGACATGAAGTAAGTGAAGTCATTCAGTGCTTGTGGGCATGCTACCGAAGGTCATGACTAAGCATCCTTGGCAGTGGATATTCCCATCACTAATTGCACTTCCTATAGCCACCCTCTACAGCTCTTTCAGAGACCCTCCTACCTTGTCGTGTTCTTCATGGTCCATGGTGAAGCAGTCCTTTAGCCTCAGAGAAAGTTCCTGCAGCTGCACAGTGGCATTGGCATTTGTGGTGTTGTCTTTGAAACGCAAAGTGTCTTCCATGATGTCTTGCACCAGGAAAAATGCCTTCTTAAGGTAGCATACAGGGTCCTTCTGAAAACGAGAGTCTAGAGCTTAAGGCCTGATTGGTGCAGCCCATGAGGCTCTGTGCTTGTTCTCCTAGGCAGGTGGAGAGCTGCAAGCCGCCCTATCCCATCTCTGCAAGGAGTGGAACACCATGCTGCAATAAGATTCTTCTAGAATCTGGTCTTTCTGAGGATTGCAGTAGTGGAAAGGAAATGTGGATTCTGACCAGAGACCTTCGGATTTTTGAAATGGGAGCTTCAATAGAAAGGGAGCACATAGGAAGGGTGGGCTCTGGTGTGTGCCCTTCTTTTTGGCTCTGCTCTTTCTCCAACCCCTTTTCCCCCTTTCCTCTTGGCTTAGCTCCACAAAAGTCTATCACCCAATTCCTTTTAATTCTCCAGCGTATAGGGTTTTCAGAGAGGATCTCATGGTCCAAAGAACAGCCTCGATAGTCATCCATTCATTGACTCACTCACTCTTTCAACAGCATTTACTAGAAATGAGTGCCAGGGGTAGAGCTGAAGCAGAGACAGTCTCCTGGTAAAGGGGCTATAGGCTATCTTCAGATCATTAATAATGGAGAGTCAAAGAGCTCAGCTCTAGTGGAGGCATGTATGGGTGTACGGGCAGGTGTATGGAAGCTCTGAGGTGAGCATGATCCCTTGGGATCATGACAAAATATCTGTAATAGACATAAAGATGAATAGATACGGAGTAAGGGCTGGAGCAGGGGCAAATGCCAAAGCCTTAAGGGCATTAAGATGAGTTTGAAGTATGAATTGTAGGCAGGAAGGGACTGGGAATGAGCGGCCATAGGCAGTGATGGAGCTCAGAGTTGCCAGGCCGAGCAGCCTGAACTTTCTCCTGGAGTGAAGGGGGCTGTCTACGAATTTTGGGGAGGGATGTAAAAGCAACAAGCTGGGGTTTCAGAAAGCTCCCCCTAGTGGTGCTATTGAGGGGTGCACTGGTACTGGGGAGACCAGTTAGGAGGCGCCTGTGTTTGTCCAAGCAACTGATTAGCAGGGGCAGAACCTTGATCTGCAGGAGAGGCAGGGCTTGCTGCTCTGGGGCTGGTTGGGTGTGCAGCAGGAGGAAGAGGAAAAGGTTGGGCTGAATCTCTGGCTACTGGCCTGTCTGGCAGATGCAGGCGACATCTTTAAGCCAAGCACGTGACCCAGAAGTTTTAATTTGCTTGATGTCCTGGAGCCAGTGTCCCAGTGTTTAAATTACACCTCCAGCACCTAAAAGCACCATTCCCTTAACCTCTCTGAGACTAAGAAACCATATCAGAGTGCCATGGAATGTTCTTGGCAGAGGTAAACTAGACAGTGCCTGTCATAAAGTAATCATTTGATAGGTGAGAAGAAGAAAAAACAAAACACTTGGGCCCTGGGCCCTGCCCAGCCCCAGAGCCTGTCTTATGCCCACCTTGCCCAGCTCTAGGATTTCTGTCACTTTTGTACATCCACATACAATCATCCAAGAAGATCTGTATAAGCTGCCATGTGGAACACGTAAATGGCATCACTCACCAACTGGTCCTTGTCTACGAACTCAAAGGCAATTTGGCACGAGGTCTGCATTTGACTGTCGATCTGTAAGAGAGAAGCCAGTGGTCTCAGGGTGGCTGAGGCATAATCAAGCCTGCTTCCTAGCAGGGAATGGAATTTTGGGTGGATCAGGGTTTGGAACACCTCCTCCCTTTTCCTAATCACACCTAGAAAGACAAAGTTAGGACGAGCGGAGGGCTGCAGAAGAATAAGAAGCCTCTTTCTTCTACCTTCCATCTCATGAAATCTGACAGAAGCCAGTTTGTCATAGGGAAGAGCTATCTAACACAGTGGAAGCTCTGGTGGCGTAGACCATAGGGAGGTGCGCTGCTTATCTAAAGCTAGGATCTACCTGCCAGTTTGGATACACTAATAGCTCTGAGAGAGAAAAATGGACAATCTCTTCCCATGTAATTTACAGCTTCCTGAAAACCTGACTGGAGGGCCAGATATGAGCCAGTTCTGACTTAACAATAATAGTAAATGATGACCTAACACAGTGTATAAAACAAAATCTTCCCCACGAGGTATTGGGCTCCCTGTCCTGGCAGGAATTCATGAGGATAGATGAGTCCTAAGAATTTGGAACTACAGGTCTCAGGGCTAGATGCCCTCAAAGCCCCCACTGGACCCCAGAGCAATGGCTCTGTGATTCTGAGCCCTAGAGGATGCTGTGGCTCTTAGGCTTAGCTTCAATGATGGTGGCAGCTGCATGCAAGGGAGTAGCATAAGGGCCACAGGGCCAGGAGGCTGAGTCTGTAGGCCCAAGCTCTGGGCCCTGGAGCTGGCCTTAGCCAACAGTGCTCCACCCTGTCCGACTAGTCAGAGGGATGGTGAAATCCTCTCTGAGCAGGACAGCAGTCATGACAGTAAGCTGGTTCCGCCTGTCTGGACTATGCCTGGAATGGCTCTGTGGGTCAAAGTAGAATGGGGTCCCAACTTCTCCATGGCCTAGTTGAGCAAGCCATCCTAGCCCTGGGGTACAGGCAAAAGTCAAGAAGTACTGGTGGAGAACTGGACTTAGACAGGAGCCTCCCCTCCCAATCTGTCAGGGGACCTGGTTCACGACTGACAGTGCATCTTAGAGTCTAGGAGCTAGAGGCAATATCTGCACATGTCAGGCATTGTATTGTCTTCCTGGAAGAGGCATCTCACTAAGTGAGAGGAGGCCATGGCTGAGATGCCTGAGTAATCATTAACTTAGGCAACCAGCAGGAAGCACCCCCCTGTCTGGCCCCCACCTGCAGGGAAGTTAGAGAAGGGTTTCAGGGTTGATGGCCAGAAGCCCTTATATGAGGAGGTGAGTGAGGGGAGCAATAGCAGAGCTGGGTGGAAGGCATGGCCACATTTGCAAAGCCCTATTTCTCTCTCTGCAACCTGTCTTGGGTAAGCCTGTTTTCCTGGGGTGGGAAAGTGAGGTAGGCATGGTAGAGCACTCACCAGGTCCTGCAGGATCTTCAGGTGGCCGGTCCCAATGATATGGCTACAGTGTTTCGGCACCTCCTCGGTAACATTCCTGCTCACCAGGAGACAGGCCAACAGCAGCCGAGGGCCCAGCCATGTCTGTGACAGAGAAAGAACTGTTTCATTTCCATTCCCACTTTCTCCAGTGGCTCCCAGACCCTACTGAGGGCAGAAAAAGAAAGACCTCACATCTACAATTTCTAGAATCAGGATGTTGTTGTGTGCTATCTAGTTGGAAGTGACTCATTGTTGACCCTCCAGCAGGTTTTCAGAGGCAGTAACTATACAAAAGGAGATTGTCCATCCCTCTCCCATGGAACAACAACAGTTGGTGAATTCAAAGAGAGTGCCTTTGGGATTGGAGTACAGATTGTTACCACCAGGCCATCAGAGCTCCCTATTGTACTGGTCTCCAGTTCCAGTTTCTCCAGGATTTCCTAATAATCATCACATAACCTTGCTTTTCCTTGATAACAATCCACATACCACCTCCTCTAAGAAGCCTTCCTAGATTCACCCAGGCCAAGTATGACCAACATACTGAGATCCTAATGAGTCCATGGGCAGGATGTTCATGAGTCTCAATTGGTAATTCCTCAGGAAAACTGTTGGAGGCAGCATTTGCATCTGCCCATTTTTTTTTTCTGCCCTTGCAACATCAAACATTGAGGCTGGCACCTTCTTAACAACCCAGTCCTTTCAAGTTCATAGTCATTCACAACTTTCAGAAAACAAGCCAGAGAGATTTCTTCCCTGGGCCCAGACCTTCTTCCCTGATTCCATACAGGCCTGGCTCTGCCACTGGAAAAATCGGAGGCTCCAAATCACTTTCACTGGGAACCCTTCCATGCTAAAAACCTCTCTGAGCCCTAGGTGTGTGTTTTGAGGAGTCTAAACAATTGATCATGGGTACCAATGCCAGCTCTGAGCCAGTCCTGGCTGCCACATGTCGATCAGAGCCACATCAGGGTCTGCGTGCAGCCAGCCCAGCTCTTATCCTTCCTCATAGGGACATTTTCCTCAGAGCTCCCCCTCTTTCAGCACCTACCTGACCCTTCACCGCTCACCTTCACCTCCAGAATGATGGAACTAGCTCCTGACACCCTGTCATCCCTCCTTCCTTTTTCCTTCCCTCTTCTTCCTGGGGCCCCCTCTGCCCTCTCCTGATCTTCATTCCCTCGTTCTCCAGCCAGGGGCAGAGGGACCCTTGAGCTTCCTTTTTCAGGTCCTGGCAGCTGATGCCCCCAGATTCAGGGGAATGCTGGGACATGGTAAGGGTTGGCATCTTCCCGGCCTCTGGAATCTGGGCTTACCCTCAATCATCCAGTTGATGAGACAAATACGGCAAATAAATAGCACACTGGAAAAACACAAGAAGGCTATGAAACAGCCTACGATGCCATGCTGACATACATGAAACTAAGAGCCCAAGTGTGTGCCAGCTCTCACCAGTGAAGGGATGCAGCTCTGGCAAGGCTATCAAGAAGGCTGCAGGGAAAAGGGGTCTCAGTGAGAAGACGAAAAGTGGGAGACCTCTGAGGAGAAGAGGCACAAGGTGACTAATGTCACTTAGCATATAGACCAAGCAGGTCCTAGTCTGGTCTGAACATGGAGATATGGGAGAAGTGGAGGATAGTCATGAGGTTCTTGGGTTCTTCTAGGCAGTTGGGGAGGTGGTGGTGGATGTGACCAGCTCCTCAGGAACCTCAGGTTCAGGATCTATTGGAGGAACCTAGGCCATGCAGGTGTGCCTCTGCCCCAGACTGGCTGTCACTGGTGGAGAGGGACAGAGGTCCCTAGGGGAGGGGTTGTTTAGGAAGGCAGCCCTGCTACAGACACTTCAAGATGAAGTGCTTGAGGACAGCAAGGTGAGGGCAATGCTCACCCTCAGGGGCTGCCTGATGTGGGGAGATATTTTAGACATCAGTTTTGAGGCACATCAGCTGCTACGTAGTAGGCTGGGTGCAGGTGGCTGGGGTGGGGGGTACCCCTGGACTTGGGACCCCATTTCTGCCTCAGTGGAGGATCTGAACAGACACTCAAGGATGAACTCTTTTATCTTGCATCTTGCACCTCTGCTTTTGTGAGAAAGCCTCAGGAAAGTATCCTGGGCAGGCTCAGAGAGATACTGGGACCTCTCAGACCAACCCTCCCGCCACACCCGCTTTGGTCCTACTCCATCATTTGCATCCACAGGTCTTTGGAGGGACTCTGGTGGGACAGAGCCCTGTGACACTCCCTGCCTGTAATCAGCCCCCTTTCCTTTCTGCCCTTGGCTTCAGCTCCGCTTTCCTTGGAGGTCTCACCCCTTTCCGGGTCTGCCATCACCTCAGCCGGCCCCCTTTCCTCAGCCTCATCTCTTGTCTTTCATTGGGCTCTTCCTCCCTGAGGGTCTCTTCTCTCTCCCACTCCTTCCATCCGCAAACCCTTCCCCCAGCCCCAAACATTTTTCTGCTCCTCTTCCGGCCAGGTTCCTCCTCCCATTTTCCCGCTGGCTCCTAAGAAGCAAACCCACTGAAAGACCATTTACTGTGCAACAATGTCACACATACCTAGGAGCTGCAGCAGCTCATACCTATGGTTGGGATCCAGCATCCCCATGCAATCTTAAATTCTCTCTCTACTTCAGCCCCAAACTCTGCAGCTGGGGTTTCCACCTTCCTCAACCATTAGCAAGCCCAGGAGCTCCTCAACTAACCAAGACTAGATTTTTTGGAAGAAAAATTTGCAAGCCAGTGCCTCCGAACCTAGGGTTTAGGCCAAGCCTGAGGCTTGGTCCCCCAAGACCCCGCCCCCGCCCCCATATCCTCATCAGCTGCCTGTGAGCTGGGGCAAGCAGTGGCTTGCCTATTTTGTTCCCTGGACCAGCAGGTTGCTTGACCCTAGCAGTGTAATAAGCTTGACCCGAACTTCCCGCACCCAGAAGTGCCCACTCCCCTGCCGGGTGTGGAAGCATGCGTTTGACCAATGAAGATGTTCAATGCAGAAGGCACCAGATCCATACCAGGAGCATAGTCACTCCTCTTGTCCCTTAGCGGTAGCCACTGAAAAGATCGATAGGCTGGTAGAGGCAGGGACACCCCTATGCTGCTGGTGGGTGGCTCGGCATTACTCTCCCTGCAATGGGGAGAGAAGCCGGGCCCCCGGCATGGGATCTGCCACAGCCCCAGGAGCAGCTGCTGGGCCGACCACCAGCTGCAGAGCGCCCGAGGCCTTAGGGGCAGCTCCGCGTGCAAAGGCGGGAAGGAAATCACAGCTCTGCACCGCGGGGGGCAAAGCCTCGCCAGCCAGGGCGCCCTGGAGGTCCAACCGAGCGGCCGCGCCGCCCTCCCGCCCGGGGCCCGCGCCCGCGCCTCGGCCGTGGCTTACCGTGAGAGGGCAGCGCCCGGCAGCGCCTCGCGCGGTCATACGGGCAGCTGGGTCCCGGCCGGGCGCGTCGGCCGCCCTTGCTCGCTCGCTCGCCGCTGCTGGAGTCCGCGCCCGGGCCGAGGGGCCGCGCCGCTGGGCCGGGTGCGGAGAGATCGGCGGCGGCGCCCAGAGAACCGAGGCAAACTTTCACTTTCCCCAGCCGAGCTTCACTGGCCAGCTCCTCGGCACAGCCTTTTAAGCGGGCTGGGCATGTGGTTTATGGGAAATCACCCTGGACATGCGCCAGACACACACACACACAGACACACACATACACACACGCACACTGACACAGACACAGACACACACACTCCCGAGGCCCACTAAACCGCCTCCCCACCGCCTCCCCTCCCCCAGCCCGGCGTCTGGTCTTCCCCGCTCGTCTATCCAGTCGCCCTCTATTTTCTTCACCAAAAGAATGCGGGCGCCACCGCCTCCCTTCTGCCGCGCGCGGAACCTCGGATAGAGGCTTTCATTCCACGCTCTCCGAGCAGATCCACTGCTGTCACTCTCTTTCTAATATTTATCCCAAGGGACTTTCCCTCTAGGCCTGAAAATTCCCAGATCTGAGCAGGAAACAAGCAGAGAGCAGGGACAGGCAGTGGGGCCTTTCCCGAGAGCACGCTGCAGCAGGAGCCTGAGTCAGCAGGTTTGTAAGCAGCCCCTTCCCTCTAAGGCAGCCCCCAATAGCCCGCCCAGTCTCTTGTCTCGCGTCCTGGCGGAAGGGGACAGACAGGGAAGCCCGCCACCTGGCCAGGAGGAGAGGGAGTGTGCTCTATGAGCAGGAGCAGGGAGACTGTGCTATCTGTGCCAGGACACTCTGGGCACTTGACCTGCGGGTGATGTAGATGCTGGCTGGGACCACGCTCGCTCCTGGCGGGGCAGGATTGGAAGCCGGGCACCTGGGCCCTGTATTTCCCTTGATGCTTTTAGCAGTGCATTTACAGGGAAGGTTAATATCTCGTTTTGAGTATCTCCTTGAGAACAAATGTAAATGAAGCCTAAAGAGATGAGCCTATTAGTTAGCAAGCCAACTATTGGAGAAAATTCCTTTCTTCAATTCATTGTGATTTTACAGGATTCCATTCCTCTCTGTGAGGTTGTCCACCTCTATCCCCTTAGAAATATCTATGTATCTATATCTGGCATCTCTTGTCACTTACCCTAGGGCTTCCAACTGGTTCATTTCTAGGATCTTGTTAAAATGTGCATTCTAATTCAGTGTATCTGTGGGTGGAAATGTAAGTTCTTTGCAGGGAGTGGAACCAGAATAAACCGGTTTATTTGTGAAACAATGTTTGCTCCAACTCCCAATAGTAATTTTGCAATCTCATACCTTTGCATTGTGATGTTAGTGCTGAAAAGCCCATTGACTGCCAAAAGAACAAACTTTTCTTGGAGGAATTGAAGCCACGGTGCTCCTTAGAGACAAGGATGGCATGACTTTGTCTCACACACTTTGATCATATTGTTAGGAGGGACCAGTCTCCGGAGAAACACATCAATGCTTGGAAAAGCAGAGGGTCAGAGAAGTGGAAAATCCTCAAGTAGATCAATTAGCACAGTGGCAACAATGGACTTAAGTAGAGATTGTGATGGCACAAGGCTAGACAAGGTGTCCATCTGTTAGGTTTGCCCCCTCCCCAGTTAACTAATTCTTTTGTTTTTTATTATTAATTTTAATGAACATTTGCAGAGACTTTGGATTTCCATTCATTCATTGTTGCATTTTTTTCTCCCTGCCCACTCCTCCCCTCCTCTAAATTCACTCTTCTCTTTGAAAAGTAAAAGAAAAATTCTTTCATTGTTACACAATCCCTCCCTGCAAGCCCACTCCACTATGCAGGCTTCATTCTGGACTCCTGTCATGATAATAATATTTAATCATATATTGCTTTTAAACAGTTCTCTCCCTCATCTACTTCAATACAGTATACATTATTTACTCCTTCTTTCTCAGTCTTCCCTCAACCCCGATGTCAGTCCCGTTTTACAACAGTGTTACCATGCAGTATTTGTCCTTTTGTGACTGAGATACTTCACTCAGCATAATGCCCTTCAGGGTCATCCATTTTGTATAATATTTCATGAGCACCACAACAAGATAAAGGTAAATAATCCAATAGAAAAATGGGCACAGGATATGAACAGACACTTCACCAAAGAAGACATTCACATGGCAAACAAACACATGAAGAAATGTTCAAAATCTCTAGCTCTAAAAGAGATGAAAATAAAAAAACTATGAGATATCATCTCATCCCAGTAAGAATAGCAAAATTTAAGAGCAGCAAACAGCAAATGCTGGTTAGGTTGCAGAGAGACTGGAAACCTTATTCACTGTTGGTGGGAGTGTAAAACGGTGCAACCACTATGGAAGGCTGTATGGTGCTTTCTCAAAAAGTTGCAAATAAAAATACCATTTAACCCAGCAATTCCACTAACATACCCTAAAGAAACCATAACTGCCACCCAAGTAGATATATGCACACTGATGTTTATTGTGGCTTTGTTCACAGCAGCAAAGAGGTGGAAAACAACCTGAGTGCCCATCAACAAACGAATGGATAGAGAAGCTGTGGTATATTCACACAATGGAATACTACACTGCACTGAAAAACAAAGAACTCATCCACTGAGTTTTTTAGCTAGAGTAAACTTGGCAGCACCTAACAACAACGTTCCTTTGTTCATAGTGGTATAGTCTCTCTGCTTGGAATGTAATCTTTCTTTTCCTCATTTGTTTTCATGGCAAACTCCTCATCCTCCTAACCTAAATTGCACCTCATCTCCCATCAGTGTAACAGTCTACAACTTCCCGAGTAAATAAATGGTTACTTTTCCTGTCTTCCCAGTGGACTGGATTAATTCCTCCACAGAAGCCTGAACATTTCCTTGTCATTCATTCTTCATATTATTTTAAAAATACTTAAAGTGATCCTAGTGAGGGTAGCATTTTAAAGATTAAGGTTATGGCTACATTTTGCTCTTACTCCAGACTGAGAATGAAACTTCTTCCAAGATGGCATGATATTCACTTACCTCAGAATCAAAAGTGCCAAGTGCTTAACAAAGGGAGCTCTGGTGGCTGGTTGTTAGATGTCATGAGTTGAGTTCAACCCATAACAACCCTATGAACAACAGATCCTGTGCTCTCCTGTGCCATCCTCACACTCCCTGACACACTAGAGCCCACTGCGGCATTCACTGTGTCAATTCCCTTGGTTTAGGGTCTTCCTTTCTTTCACTGACCCTCCGTCATTCTGAGCATCATGTCCTTCTCCAAGGAACAGACCCTCCTGGGAATATGTCAGGAAGCTCTGACAGCCTAGTCACGAGAAGCTGCACTGCAACCATGAAAGCAGGCAGTGCAAGGCTATCAGCTTCTCCACAGGAGAAGGACGGGCAATCCCTTCCCATGAGAATAACTGCCTATGCAACACCCACTCCCCCCAAGAGTCAGCTGTGGGTCGGTTCCTACCCAACAGTATACAACAAAAACATGGCCAAAGTAGGAGAGACAAATCTTTATATCACCTTTGCCTCCAAAGAGCACTCTGGCTGCACTTTCTCCAAGACATATTTGTTTTTCTCCTGGCTGTCAATGGAATGTCAGTACTCTTCTCCAACACCACAGCTCAAAGACACCAATTCTTCTTCTGTTATCCTTATTTGTTGTCCAGCTGCTAGATGCATAGCAAGTGATCAGAAAGACCATGGCTTGAATAAGATACACTTTAGTCCTCAAACTGACATCTTTACTCCTCAGTCATTTGGAGAGGTCCCTAACTGCAGGGACTGGAGGCTTAGTGCCAAGGTGTTGCACTGCACAAAGGTAATCTCTTTGGAGATTACCAAAGATGGGTAATCTCCTTTGTCATTTACAGCCTCTGAAAACCCCTGAAGGATCCTTTAAAGGTCTGTCCTGACTTGATGGTACACAACCACAACAGGCTTAACAAATACTAATGTTAATGGTTGCATTGAATGAGGCCATTCACACCCATGTTTATTGCAGCTTTGTTCACAATAGCAAAGAGCTAGAAACAACCCAAGTGCCCATCAACAAATGAATGGATAGAGTGGCTGTGGCATATTCACACAATTGAATACTATGCAGCATTGAAGAACAAGGAACTCATGAAATATTATTCAAAATGGATGACTCTGGAAGACATTATGCTGAGTGAAATATCTCAGTCACAAAAGGACAAATATTGTACAGGGCCACTGTTGTAAAACAAGACTGACATCAGGGTTGAGGGAAGACATAGAAGGAAAGGATGAAGGATGTGTACTGCCCTGAAACAGATGAGGAAGAGACTGTTTAAAAGGGATATGTGATTGGGTATTATTGTCATGATAGGTAGTCCAGAATGATGGCTGCACAGTGGAGTGGACTTGGGGGGAGGGGATTGCATAACAATGAAAGAGTTTTTGTTTTACTTTTCAAGGAGAAGAGTGAATTGGGGGGAAGACAGTGGGCAGGGAGAAAAGTGCAACAGTGAATGACTGGAAAACCTAAGTCTCTGTAAACTTTCATTAAAATTAATAAAAATAAACACAAACCAAACTCATTCACTGGGCAAATGTGCACCAGCTGTCTACTATCTGCTGGACACTGGGATTGTGACAGCAAACATGAAGATGTCGTCCCTGTTTTCATGGGCTGGTGGAGCAGGCAGAATTCGAGGAGTGTGGAGGCAGCAACTGGGTTCTTAGAACTTTCAGGAAGGAAAGACAACAACCAGAGGAAGCAGGTCGAGGGCTTACTTCCCCCAAGAAAGCTCTCTCAGTGGCCCCAGTAAGATAATGATTGAAGATAAAATGTCGACACAAACACCACAGTTCTTAAGAGTGGTAAGATATTAAAGGAAGTAAGGTGAGGGAGATAAACCTCTAGACTTCTTGAAAAATTGAAACCAAAAGAGCCTCAAACTCTCTGTCACGGAGTTGGAAAAACTCATAGCTGACTTTCTACAGAGTTTTTGGGAGGCTAC